ACTGCGGGGAACTATGCAAAAAACGCATCTTCGCACGGGCAGCCCGTGCGTTGGCCAATTATTTCTTTTTTTTTTTTTTTTTTGGCATAGGTTCCGTCTTCTTGTTCTCCCTGTTAAATGCCATCCGAAGAAATCCGAAAGCTGTAGCGTTTGCGAACGAAAACAATATCCTTCTTTTATAACCCCTCATACACAATATCGTATCGCTTCCTCGGAAGCGATACGATATTGTGTATGAGGGGTTATAAAAGTTGCAATGGAATGAAAAGAAAAACTGAGGCAGAAAGAAGTAGGGGAAACATGAGAAGCTTGCAGTCGGCAGACGCAGCTAACTATTACCACTAAAATGCTGAGAGAAATGAAGGTGCTGCGCAGAGCCGGGTAACTTTCCATTTTTTCTGGATCATGCCCGATGTAACCAAATTTGAATAAAAGGAAAAAATTTCCAGCCACGGGATAGCAAAACTGTAGCACTGTTGGATGAAGAGGGGCAAATTTTTCTCAGATCGAGGGAAAAATAGCATGGCGGGTAATATGGATTACACTTCAGCATACGGGTAGTTGTACAGCTGTATCAGTATCGTGTGAATTTACAGGAAAACCCAAGAAAATTACGATGAATCCGGTGGCTTTATGGACGATGACGATGAATATGCGAGCATTCGAGAACGAATTGCAGAAGCACGTCAGAAACGTAATTTACCGCACACATTTAGCGATATTTACTTGAAATCTTAGATCACATACTGCTAATTATCGGATTTAATTCTTTTTACAAAAAGTTTTGCTTCATTCTGGCGCATCCATTGAAATCCAACTTTATTTTTATAACGTTCTTTCCCTTCTTTCTCCCCGGTTCCTTCTCTCTTTTCACATGGACACATTTGCTACTTTACATGGTGGTTAGGGAGCTGTACTGATGAATCCCGTCTCTGACTACACCTTTTGTTGTCTGTGTTTACAGCTAAGGGATGAAACAGAGACAAATATTCCTCCTAGATATTCTTAGCACATGAGATATATGTCACACATTGTTTATAAAACATATTCCAAAACACTCTGTTTTCGTGTAAACCTCTTCAGTTGTCTGTGTTTACAGCTAAGGAATGAAACAGAGGCAATTATTTCTTCATATTCTCAGCAAATGAGACATGAATATATTACAGATTGGTTATAAAACATTCCAAAACACTCTGTTTTCGCGTAAACCTTCACTTGTCTTGTGTTTACAGCTAAGGGATGAAACACATTGACAAATATTCCTCCTAGATATTCTTAGCGCATGCGATATGAATACAACACACATTGTTTATAAAACATATTCCAAAACACTTCATCTCCCAATCCCAGCCATGCGCATTATAGCTTATTCCACATGGAATATTAAACTTGAATCTTCCTATTCCATTCCATTTATTTTACTTAAGGACATATCACTGATCCATGAATACCTGGGCCTTCTCATTGATATTGCTGGAATAATCTTGCACATCAGATAATTATGTCAGATGACCTTCGATCCGGGGTTGCATATCTCCAGTTAGTACTCAACGCCTATTCAACATATAAAGGGGCTACTTTCTTGGGGCTGCACCGAGTGGTCGTTTTCTTTCTTGCGGTTTACTCACTAATCCACGGGCTCTATCGATCTAGTAGTGACACTGTTTATAAATTTGCTTATTTATAGTTAAAGCCTGTGGTGGCGGAAGTCGTTAAGTAATTTATTTTGTTTATAATAAAATATTTTAATGTTGAAAAGAAGGGATTAATAAAGTTTTAAATGTATTGAAAATTATTCGTAATAGTAAGAAATGTTTCGGTCCATTAAGTCGTGTACATTTCTTACCGTTACCACAATTGGACCTCATCGTCAGTACGACTTCGCTTATCCTTCTTGCAAATTAGTTACATGTCTTTTCAATACATGGCGGGTAGGAGGCTGTATTGACGATCCTCACTCCTACCCGCATGCATTGTTCGGTCTGTGTATGCAGCTAAGGGATGAAACACAGAGACTGCATCGTGAAATGTCTTCTTATACATGACACCTAATTCCAATCTTCTTGCTCCACTATTCGATTGTGGTAATTAGCAAAAATTTGATTTTAATTTAAAAAAATATGTTATTGAAAAGGGATAGGTGAAGTAATGATAAAAGTTAAGTGTGTAAGAGAGGGAGAGTAAAGTTAATATAAAATGGAAATTACTCTTTTTTTTGGGCTACTCCAACTATGTATTTATTCATAGATCAAATTTCAGGCGTGGTATTCCCCAGTCCTAATCTACCATTATTTGAAATATACAGATAGGCCGCAAGCGAAAAGTTAATGCTTGAATTTGCAGGCCTGGACGAAGCGGCTGGCTTGGCCGAATTAGTTGCACCAGAAAATTGTGCAGACTGTGGGAAGCAGCTCGGCGATTCTTACCTGTGGGAGAAGTTCAGTTATCCGGTTTGCGACGGCTGCAGGTTTAGTTGTTTTTTACGCATTAAACTCTTTGGATATTAAGAAATATTAAACCTCTTCTACTCCTCCATCGCGCTTTTCTGCGCTGCCCCGGTACAGCTGACAATTTTGCCGTTCACCATTTAGTTCTGGGCCCAACAAATCTGCGCTTCTTCTTTTGATGTTAGATGCACTCATATGAATCCTTCTGTTTCACAGGCCCCTTGTCGGTTGTTCGTCTGGCAGTGTATGGGTACCATTCGGCAGTCTTTTGCCCATTTCTTTTTTTTATTTCACTCACATTGCACTCATTGACGGATCCAAGGGGCGGCGGGGGAGGGGGAGGGCCCACTATGTCGGAGATTGTAACTCATGATATTGGTTGCAGCAAGAACAGTATATAAGCTCGAGGATCCGACGTTTTGGGTCCGCATTCACGTTCAACTTCCCGTGCCGACTGAGAGCCTTCATCTTATCCTCACGAGAACTTAGATATTAGTTGTTTTACTGTACAAAAGTCTGTTCGGTACCTCCGGCGTCCCTCCCCTCCCCCTCCCCCCGAGAGCCTTGTCAGTCTCAGTTTATTGTCCCTTGGTGAGAGGGGGGG